ACTTATGCATAAGATCAGAAAGGAAACATTGGAAAACAAAATTTTATTAGTAGGTTTTTGAATTTTTAATGTATATTTTTGTTTTGCATCAGTGCTTTAAGAAATATTTAAAATAATAAAATGCACTACCTGTATGTAACTCTACTGACTGATGTAATCTATGGGTTGTGACCAACTGAAATATATTTCTTGACTTTTGTTATGAAACTGTAGTGTTAGGAAAGCTGATCAGCCTGAAGCGAGCTCCAGGCTTCTTTATGAAAGCTGTGAAATTAAATTGATTATTAAAGAAAGGGAAATAGTTGAATGTCAGCAGAGACTTGATAGGCTTTATCTAAGCTTAGACTTTGTGTTTAGATTCCAAGGCATTCTTTCCTATATTGATTTTCATTTTTAAAATGTTTTATTTTTAATTGACAAAAAGTGTGTATATTTATGGGGTACATTTGATATTTTTGTCTGTATATATCGTTTAGAAAAAGTGATTCAGGCTAATAGAATATATATCATCTCGCCAATTTACTCTGTGTGTGCGTGCATGTGTGTATAAAACACTGACCATCAAAAATCCTTTAGCAGCCAGGCATGGTGATGCACACCTGTTATCCCAGCACTTAGAAGGCTGAGACAGGAGGATTGCCGCATATTCCAGGCCAGCCTGGGCTACATAGTGAGTTTAAGGCCAGTGTAAAATACATAGTGAGATCCTATCTCAAAAAAAAAATTAAAACCTTTTTATCAGTTTTGAACTACACAATACACTAATTGTACTCACCCTGTGGTGCAATAGATCACTAAAACTGTTCCTCCAGTGTAACTGCAGTTTTGTACCCTTCGATTAACATCTTGTCTCCTATTCTTCCCCATCCTTCATCCAGGAATAAACTCATATAGTCTGGTTGCTAATTCTGTACTCTGCTCCCTCACTTCCTAGTTTTTAGTTTATCCATTCATAGATATGCATAAGTTAAAGAATCTAGTAGTCCATAATTTATTATAAAAATAACTGTCCCTTTCTCATAGATAATTACTTGATTATGGCAGTATTTATGTACCTGTCTCTAAAGAACATACTTGTTTTGCTGCCTCTTTTTTCACTTGTAGATATTATTATTCACTTCTGCTGTTGAACATGATTATTTAGCTCTTCGCCCTTACCACATCTGATTTTGAGCCCCCTCATAGTTATTCATACTTTTGGTTAGACCACTATTCACTTTTTACACTGATTATATAGGCATTATCTTCATTTGAGCCATTGTTGCAATTTGTGCTTAGTTTTTTTCTTTCCTAACATTTTCTTTTCCTTGAAGATAATTGTCTTTTCCTTTTTGCTTTTTTTTTTTTAAATTTACTTAACACTAATTTACATCTTTGCCAGCTGTCTAAATTGTGTGCCTCTTCTCTTTGTTATAAACGGTGCAGGAGAGGCCACTCCGGCACAGGATTTATGAGAGAAAAGGCTTCATTTCGGTCTGGGTGTGGACAGAGACTGAAATGTGGAAGATTTCAGCAGCTAGCTAGGAGGGGTGGGTTTTATGTGAGAAAAAGGCTGGATTTATTGTCTGGATGTAGACAGGGCTGAGATTCTGAATGATTTCAGCAGCTAGCTGGGGAGGAAACTAAGTTTATATTGGGGTCGAGAAGAGACTAAGGAATCTGGAGTGGAATGTTTATGATTGAGGATGTAAGGATGGTCTTAATACTCGGCTCTCCAGCTCCAAGGAGATTGTAAACTTTGTCCTAAATTTTCTTTCTGGCCATCTGTTCTGTTTACTGAGAGTAGCCTGTTTTTGCTGTGAAGGTTTCTTTCAGGCCAGGTATGACACCATTTATTTCATGTTCCTGAAGAAAATTCTTTTGACTAGGACCCATCTGTACAAGTTATATGCTAGTCATACTAGAATCTATTTTGCCTGTTTCCTGTGTTGGCTGTTTAACTGCTTGATTTTACAGTTTATTGTTTATTAAACTATCATGCTAGAGCCAGTAGCTTCTTGAGAAAAAGGTCTGGGAGATGGTTTTTATATAACTTTGTGGAATACAAGTATAAATGTCCGTTTTCAAATGTGGAAATACCTGTCAGCAGTTCAGAAAAGAGGACAAACTTCTTTTAGACACTGAAAATGTAAGATAAGAAAATTAAAGATTAACTCCATGGTAACATAGTTGAAACCCCAAGAATAGTTAAGATTATCCAGGGGACACCATTTAGCACTAGATGAAGCCTGGAAAGAGGTGGGTAGGAAACAAGCACATATAAGAAAGAGAGCTGCTATCTTATACATTGCTTTTTCTCTCCTTCCTTTCAGTGTTTCTGTGAAATAGTGAATAGATACAAAATACTTATTTATTAGATATTTGTAAATAATATCCTAACTACAGTATGTATTTAAAAAATTACAAATACTGTACTTTGAAGACTTTCTGTTTCCATCTCTACTCAGAGATAACCAACATCCTGATTTACTGGCGGGGGTGGGGGGTGGGGTGGTGATCAAACCTGGGCCTCCTTGCACATTCTAAGCAAGTGTTCTACCACAGATATATACCCCTAACCTCACTGAATTTTAAAATCATTCTCTTGTTTTACTACATATTTTTTGTTCTTAATTTATTGTTGTTTTGTGGTTTTGAACTTTAAAAAAATGATAGTAAATATATTTTGGGGGATTTGATTTTCTTAAAAAATTTATTCAGTTTTTGAGATTTATTCTTGGTATTATATCCAGTTATAATTATTTTTATTCCTGTTTAATATTTCATGCATGAATAAGCCATAGTTTATGTACACATGCTAACATTGATATTCTGTTAATGTAGAAAATTACATTAATTTTTTCTAATATTAAACCAAACTGGCATTAATAGAATAAATGCACATTGGTCATGATGTATAACTTTCTGTAAAAATAAATTTTGTTTGTTAGTGAGATTGGCCTGTAATTTTCACTTGTCAGACCTTTCTTATCTAATCTGAGTGTTAAGTTACCTTTATAAAATGAATTGGTGTTTTCTAGTTTTCAATGTGCAAGTCTTGCATATCTTTGGTTAAATTTATTTCAAATAAATAATTTTTTGGTAAGATTCTGAATGGGATTTTTTTTCTTAATGTTTTTTGGTTGTTGATTGCTAATGTATAGAAAAACAGTGGATTTTTTTTGTTATACTGTATTTCTATTTTTCCACTTCTCTAAATTTACTTAGTAGCTCTACTGGTTTTTCCACTAACTGTTCTTTAGGGTATTTTGGTATCATGTTATCTTTGAAAAGAGGTTTAGTTTTCCTTTCCAATTTGTTAGACTGTTGGGGATTTTTTTGTTTTAAGAGCATGCTTTTAGTTGATGATTTTTTTTTGAGCTAATTGTAATATAGTTAGGTAATACAATTTTTGTGAAACTATTTTTTCAGACTTCATTACTCATTCCTTTGATTTTCTTATAGTTTCATTTTTTTCACTTAAAATACGTATGTCATTAAATAATATATTGTTTAGTTTTGCTTAATTTGAATTTTATTTAAATGGAATGGTTATGTATCATTTTGGTATTTGCTTGTTTTACTTCTGCTATGAATTAAATTGTTTCTTCCCAAAATTCAAATGTTGGAGCCCCACCTCTCAATGTAATGGTATTCAGAAATAGAGTCTTTGGAAAATAAGTCTAGATGATGTCATGACTGTGGGACACTCTTGATGGGGTTAATGACCTTCCAAGAAGAGATACTGAAGAACTTGCTTTTGGCCCTTCCCTTGCCATGTGTAGATAAAGTAAGAAGACTGTCATCTGCAAGATAAGAGGAGAGCCCTTCATCAGCAATGACTGTACTGTACCATGATTTGGATATCTAGCCTCCAGAACTGATAGAATGTAAATTTTTTACTTAAGCCACCCAGTTTAAGGTATTTTGTCATGGTGCACTGTGCTAAGACTATGTTTTCCACATTAAGATTTTGAGAATCATTCATATTTAAGAATATAACTCATTTTTTAATATGATTTCATTGTATACTATACCGTAATTCCATAATTATGTGAATGGTGGACATATAGATTGCTTTCATTTTTTTCCAGCCTTTACAAACAGTGCTTTTGTGAACATTCTATGTATCTCTTGGTGCACAGGTTAAAAAAGTTTCTTATATCTATAATTGGCAAGATTCAGTTGCTTTTAATCTTCAAAAACGGATTTCATATTATTTAAACTAATATCTCGGAGTAAAAATGCTAGTTAATAAAACTTTTCCCAGGTGGTTATACCATTACCCTCCCACTGGTGGGATTGTTTGGTTCCATATATTTTCTGAAGATTGGATGTTGTCACCTAGCAGTGGAGCTATCTCATTGTTTTTAAAATTTGTATCTAAGTTACTTTTTTCCTCTTCATGATTTTGCCTAGTTTTATGTTTTGTTTGGCAAGCCAGTTGTTTTTACTGTGATGTAAATTTAATATTTATTGAAATAATTCCTTTTTTAATAATTAAGTTTATTGGTACATTTTAGGTATTGAAACAATCTTGATTTTAGATCATGCTTATACAAAAATGAGTAAGATGGACTCTTAAACTCAGTCTGCATTTAATAAAGGTTAAACTTAATTGGAAGCTACAAATTTCTGTTTTATTCATTCAAATATAGATTAAAAACATGAATTTCTTTTATGTCTCTGCTTCCCTTTATTCATTTGTAAACCAGTGGACTTTTACTAGTTGATATCTAGTTTCTCTTTTACTAATGTTTGAAATAATCTATTTTTTTCTTGTTGACTTTGAAACTTAGTAATAAATTACTTTTATTATAGTAGTAAACTAAGATGTTGACTTTTTTCTTTTTCACTAGAAAAATGTCATGTTTTGCTTCTGTAAAGTATAATTTAAGTCATTTCTCAAAGGACACATCTCTTAGATGGATTTCCTAGACTGATATTACTGCCTTGTATTTTTAAAAATGCTTTTAAACTTATAAAATTGATCATAATGTATATGAATTATTTTTTCTCAGAGTGAAGATACACAACAACAAATCATCAGGGAGACTTTCCATTTGGTATCTAAGAGAGATGAAAATGTTTGTAATTTCCTAGAAGGAGGATTGTAAGTAAAACATTTCATAGACATTTCTAATTTTTACTGATTAAAATATATACTATTTAATCCATTTATGGTAAAAAAATTTTATTTCAGTTAATTAGGTGAATTGTCACCTATGTTAGCTATAAATCTAGTTCACGTTTTTTTTTTTTAAAGCTATACAGTCATCCTAAAAATTTTTAAGAGCATTTTATATTTAGGTGGTATATTCATATGGTAAAAACTCAAACATTGTAGAGAAATATAAAATATTAAATGAGTCTCCCTGTCCCAACCTTAGTCTTTCTTCCCAGTTTCTTGTGTATCCTTCTAGAACATTTATTTTGCATTTAGTAACGTAAAAGTACAACTTTAATCCATTTTACATATTAAGATCACACTATATGCTCTCTTACATCTTGCTTGTTTTTGCTTAGTATTTTTTTAAAGCTCTTTCTGTAAACACAGAATAATCTCATTCTTTTAATGACTGTACAGTTTTTTAGGATGAATGTTCATAAAAATTTAAATTATATCTTCTATTATTAAAAATTAGGGCCGGGGATTTAGCTCATTTGTTCCGGTGCCTGCTGTGGAAGGAAGCTCAAGGTCCTGAGTTTGATCCCCGGTACTGGAAAAAAAAAAAATAAGAGTAAAGTCTTATTTTTAAATACATCTGTACATCTGTCTACATACCTATAATATAAATTCAGATTCAGCTAATAGATTTTTCTACCTTTAAAATGAATAAGAATTACTTGTACTCTTTATTTTCTTTTTTTGAAACGAGGTCTTGTGGTGTAGTTCAGGCTGGCCTTGAATTCACTATACAGACCAGGCTGTCCTTGAACTTGCAGCAATTCTCCTGCCGTGTGTGGCCTTCCCAGTGCTGGGACTGTAGGCATGTGCCACCACACCTGGCTCAAATATTATAAATAAATACTTTTTTGGGGGAAGGGTTGAGACAGAGTCTTTCTGTGTAGTTCTGGCTGGCCTTGCAATCACTATATAGCCCAAGCTAGCCTCAAACTCATGTTGATCCTCCTGCCTCAACCTGTCAGGTGCTGGGATTACAGGTGTGTGCCACCATGCCTGGAAATAAGTACTTTTAAATTATGGATTCTATGAAAACACTTTACTGTCATGTTTTCATAAATATTTCCTCTCCTGTTTATATAATTAATATACTTAAAATATGTCCTTATTAAGAATTAAAACTAAACTTTAAATGAGTATCATTATGAATCATGAAAGATTAATCAGAGAAGTCTAGATTTTCCATATTTTAATGTATATGACGTGGGTTGTGAAAAAATTGTTCCAGTAACAGAACCTGTTCTTATCTGATCATAAATTTTATCATGTAATGGGGGCTGGGGATTTAGCTCAGTGGTTCCTGCGCCTGTCTTGCAAGCACAAGATCCCAAGTTTGATCCCCGGTACCAAAATAAATAAATAAATTTTATCATAGAAAGTTTACTTGAATGTCTTAAGGTTATATCATATTGTACATAAATGTGTAATGCATACTTATAATTTGGAAGTTATTTTATTAACTTGAGGGTTTGTTAATTAATGAGATGAGGGTTTCACTATGTGGACCAGGCTGGCCTCCAACTGGTGAACTTAAATGTCTCAGCCTTGCAAGTGCTAGGATATAAGTCCATGATACCATGCTTGGCTGAGTCTTGTACTTTAATGGCTGAGATAAACTGTGCCTACTTCTCTTTTTGAATTTTACTTTTCTCTATCTCTTAAACCACTGTATGAGTTTCGTTGTCTTTGCCATTATCATCACTTTATCTCATCTTAGCCTCTTAATTTATCTTACAAGAAACTTATTGTCCAGAACAATGTGTTGCATGTAGTAGACATGTAAGAACCTGGTTGATGTAACTACTGTTTGAACTAGAAATTTTATGGCTTGAAATTTTCTAACCTTATAAAAAGTAGGAAGTAAATATTGGAACTGAAATGAGGTGACATGTGGATTCGTCCTAGTTTGTTGCTAAAAAGCTGGTTTTCTTATTTAGGTCCCTCAAATTCTTGGACCTTAGTTTTCTCCTCTAAACTGAGATTTGGACTAAGATGATTTCTAAAATTTTGTGGTTATATATGGTGTATTATATGCCATCTAAAAATTTATATCCCCATTATACTATAAGTTAAAGATGAAATTTTATTTTTAAAGGCATGACGTATACTTGACATTTCAATATCTGGTTTCTTTTAGTAACTTTATTGGCCATCTTGAAACTTAACAGTTTTCAAAAGTTTGGTCTTCTTTTTTTTTTTAAAGCAAAGCAAAAGAAAATATTAAATTGCTGATTCAGGATGAAGTGAAGCCTACTATTTTTACTCTGTCTCGGAATAATTTTAACCACAGTCAAAATATAATCTCAGAATCTAAATTACATTTAAATATATTTTCTAGAAAACTGGCATAGTAGAAATTCTTAATTTATTTCAGCAATCACTTCTACTTTTGTTATTGGAGGACACAGAAGTAGTGTATACTTAGAGAAGTTGCTTCTATGGAATTTGGAAGTTTAATGTTAAATTTACTAAGAAATATGTACTATTTACCTGTGTTAAATTGTTTTACTGTTTAACTTTCAATAAATTTAATCTTGATTTTAAATTAGGTTAGTGTAATTTAGAAGTCTTTTGGAAGGTGAATTTGTTATTGTAAAATTAACCACGATATTAACCACAATATAGCTAAACTATTTGGGAAAACATAAGATGTCTGGAATAATTCCTAAGTTACTATTTATAAAATGCTGAAAATAAAAGCATTTAATGAAAGAACTGAGTATCTCTTAGCTCAGTTTCCTTGCATTTATATTTCAAAGTGATGTTTTTTGGAGAAGATATTGATGGTAAATTTAAAACTTAAATGTCATTCCTTTTTGTTTTGTTTTGTTTTGTTTTCTAGTTGGTAATCAGTCTTAAGCTGTGTAACTTACTGTGACCTATGGAGTTAAATCTAGTAAGCACTTACAAATCCCCTGTGATCTAATTCTGTGGCCTATTTCTTTGACCTCTTGTTTACTAATCTTTTCCACTGGCTGCCTTCTTCTTCCTTGAGGTTGTTACCTTCACTTGAAACACTCTTCTCTAAATTTTTTGTGGCCAGCTCCTAACCATTAGACCAAAGGCTGAATGTCACTTTCTCAGTACCCAGTCTGAAGTAGTGAACCCCTCCATATGACATTGTCCTGTTTTGACTCTCCATGTCGCACTTTATAGTATTTGATAATTTTCTTGTTGGTTATTGCTCCCATCAGTATCTGGCACATAGTAGTAACTCAGTAACTGAGTAATTTTATGACTGAATTAATTAAAATTAAACACTGACTTCACTGGCTTCTTTTACTTGACATTTCTAAAGAAAACAGCCATCTTAATTAGTTTCTGAAATAATTTCACTTTAGTGTTACGCCACTGTTAACTTTTCATTTTATAAAAGGCTTTTAAACAAATTGTTAGTTTATTTGAGCTAATGAAATTGTTTTGCATTTGTTCCATATAACATTTCGATTTTGTTTTGTCATTTAGATTAATTGGAGGATCTGACAACAAACTGATTTATAGACATTATGCAACACTGTATTTTGTCTTCTGTGTGGATTCTTCAGAAAGTGAACTTGGCATTTTAGATTTAATTCAAGTAAGTTAACATTTGCCTTTTACTGTGTTAAATAACAGTTTTGCATTTATGGTTTCTTTAAAACTTTTATATTCACAATTTTCTAAGATGTTTTGTTTGCTGAGAAATAAGTGTTCCATAGATACTGGGGGATTAAAGAGGAATGGGGGTATAGAAGCAAGGAAACTAACCTGATTAAGACTAATCTCATCATGCCTTTTTTTTGCTCTTCATGAGTTACTACAAGGAGCCCAAGACTCATGAGCCTCTTACCACATGTTTCCAAATCTGCCCCTAAAACCTACCTCTTCTTGTGTCCTGAAAATCTTTCATAATGTCCCTGAAACTCGTTACTTACCAGAAGATTCTCCTTTCTCTTTAACCTCTTCTGTTAATATTACTTCACCTTTTCCTGTATTGAGTCTTGCTTCCTTTATTACACTACCTTCAACCACCTCAAGTGTCTGTTTCTTTCTTGCTTTTTTCATATCCTTGACACTGGGACTTGTTTGCTTGCTTCTTCCAGAACATTCTCTGTTCTAAAACATTTCCAGATTTTATCTCATGTTATCAAATTATTCCACATCCTACCCATTTGGTTGCAGTCATTTCTTTCTACCTCCCATTCATTGGAGATTTTGTCAACAGCTGTCAAGGATCTGATTTTATTCTCCTTGTAAGCTGACAAGTTAACCGACCACAGTTTGATGGATGCTGGCACAAGAAGAAGACTTCTAGGCTAGAAACAGTGGACTTCATTACTAACATTATCCAGGAAAAAAAAAGAAAACAAAAATAACAGCATTTGCTTGCACTGGTTCTTCAGTTGTGAAAAGGGTAATAAGAAGGCCAGGTGAAATTTGATCTCAGTTGATTGAACTACAAGTGAGGAACCCCAAGCTTAGGCAACTGCAGTCTTTTATAATGAACAGGAAGAATGTCTTCCCTTGTTTGGAAGGAAGAGGTTATCTCTTCTAAGGCAGAAGGTAAACCTTTTTCTTTGAAAGAAGATACTATTTTCCAAGGGTGTTTGTTTCAAGCAAACTTGAAAAGACAGTCCAGAATAGAAACAATGAGTAACTCCTCCTCAAAATGTGTACAGAAACCTGAAACCTATAGAGAATTGTCTCTTAAAAGATCGTGTTTCTTAGTTCACAAATATTTCCTCCAGTACTCCTTATATTATAATTCTTGGTGATTTCAGTGTGCATGTGGATAATTCTTCCAGTAAACCGGTGTCTTGAAACCTGAAACTCCTCAATGAATTTTGCCTTTTACCTCATCTTACTAATTTCTGGACCTCATTTTTATCCAAACTACAATGAATTCTTTATCTCAATTTCACAGTTTCTTCCATCAACTACCTCTTATCTTTTCATGTTCCTATTTTTATCATTCCAACAGACTTTGGGTCTCTCAGTTTTGTAAATTTATCATTTTTTCACTCTCCTTGCTCCTACTGATGTCTTGCCTTTCCTTATTCAACTTAAATTCCTTGGTCAGTCGGGATAATCATATCATTCTGTTCGCTTAACTCCTTGTCTATACTCATATGTCTGAAAATACCCAGAAGAAAAAACACTTACTGGTCTCACTTAAAATTCATGATTCCCTGTGATGGCCAATTTTGATTGTCAACTTGACTAGATTAAGAGACACCTAGAGAGATGATTGGATTGTGAGGGCACTAACCTCATCAGTAGATTAACACATTCATAAATTTGTAGATGAATTTGCTCTTAAGAGGAAAGGTGTAGTTGGAGAAAGTGGTCACTTAGTATGGTACCTTTGAAGTGTATTACCTTTTCTTGGGTTCTTTTCCATGTCACTCTGGTTCCTGGTTGCCAAGACATAAGGAGCTTTTCTCTGCTATGCCCTTCCACCATAGTGTTTCTGCTTTGTAGCCAATTATAGACTGAAACCTATGAAACTGAACCAAAGTAAACTATAGTTCTTTCCTCTGTTATGTATGACAGATTTTGTCTCAGCAGTGCATTGGTGACTAATAACAGTCCTTAATGTCATTGAATCTTTAATGCTAATCAGTAATCAAGTTTTATGTTCTTTGTCCTTTACTGTCTCATACTCCTAGATGACTTACAGATACATTGTTCTCTTTCCTCAAATCTGTAGGACTTCAACACATTCCTTCGTATATTACAGAGAACTTCCACATATTCCCACTATCTACCTAGCTACCTACATCTGTGCCCTTGTATTGTGCTCTGTCTTTTGTGAGTGTCACCATGCTCCTAACTAAGGCCAAACCTAAATTATTTTCACTTCTTTACTGCTCTAGCAATTCTCCTCTTTTGTATTATTATTTTTCCTCTGTCTTCTGAATTATTCTTAGCAGCATTGCTGAATCCAAGGGTTCTCATCAGTGGTCCTTTATTTTAGTATATGTGCCAGTAAAGCAAGCATTTGATTCAGATTGTTGATCATCCTTCTTCATGAAATATTTTCTTTCCTTGGTTTCTAGAACAATTTACCTCTCTGGTTTTTAATCCCATCCTTTAGTTACTTCATTTTGGTTTCTTTATTCCTCCTACCTCCAAATGTTGATTATGCCCTGGGGTTCCATCTTCCAATTTCTTTTCTTTTTTGGCTCTATTCTAGGTGATTTTTATTCTAATATTATATATATATATATATATATGTATACATATATATATATGTGTGTGTGTGTATATATATATATATATATATATATATACACACACACACATATATATATGGGCACCAAAATTTGAATCTTCAATCCAGACCTTACCTTTTAATTCCTGTCTTGATTATGAAGCTGCCTACTCAACTGCCCACTGGACATCTCCACTTGGTATCTTACAAAGATCTCAAACTTAATGTGTCCTCAGCTAAGGTCCATCAGAAATTTGTACTTCAGTTTCCCCTTATCAGTTAATAACAACTTTGTTTTTCCAGTTGAATCAGCCAGATACATAGGTATTTATCTTTCATTCTCATTTTTTAACTGCCCCTCCCCATCTGCTATATGCTTCTTCAGTAAATCCTATTGGATCTACAGAATCTGACCACTTATTACCCTCTCTACTATTACCACCTTGGTCTAAACCACTGTAGTTTTTGCCTGCATTATTGGCTTCCTGCTTCCACTGTTTTTGTTAATTTTTTGGTTTTGTTTTTTTTCTGATTTTTACTCAGTGCAACAGACAGAGTGATACTGTTGAAATATCCTATATCTTACATTCTTCCATTTCACAGTCTTCAGTGACTTCACTTTGCATTCAGAATAAGAGCCAAATTCTTTTCAAGGTATCCTGGAGGTCTCACATGAGCTAACTTCTTTCTCCTATTACTTATCTAACTTCATCTCTACTCCTTTTCCCTTTGCTTGCTTAGCTTCCTTGCTGTTCCTTAGAAATACCAAGCATGCTTCTATCTCAGAGCCTTTTACTTTCTGAACTTTACACTTAAAATGTTCTTCCATTTGATAGTTCGTGGCTGGTTCATTCATTTTTTCAGATTTTGATTCAGGTGTTGCCTTCTCAATGTGATATTTTGTGGCCATTCTAAAACTTTTTCTGTCTATATTTTCTAACTCCTTTCCTGTTTTATTGTTTTTTTTAAGCACCTATCACCATCTAGTACACTGTATAGGTGACCTACTTTGTTGTGTGTACTGTCATCTCCTAGCAGTGGTACTTTGGTTCACAAATGTTTTCTGTTACAAAACAATTTGATTTGTGAACAGAAGCATGCTGTAAGATTTTGCTTTTATTCTTGAACTCCACATTAGGTGACATTGAACCTTATGGAGAAATTTGATTCGGTTTGCATCCAGAATCATGGAAAGAATTACACTTGATCTTAGCCATAAGGCTGAGAAGTGATTGTGAAAAGAATTAAATTCATACCAAGCTTCCACTGTAACTGTGAGGGCCAGGATTATTATTTTGTTTACTGATTAGCCTCTGTGGAGAATGGCTTCTGATATATCGTAAGTCTTGAACAGATCACTGAATGGATGAATGAATGAATGAATTTAAGGCCTCATATTTAGCATTCTATGTAAAATAACTGGCAAGCAAGCCCACAGATTAATTTGCAGAGTTACAAAGGAATTATAGTAGTTGCTACATGCGAGCAATAACATTTTAAAAATCTCAATGCTAGTTACAACAGTATGTTTAATTTATGAAAATCATGAAGCTCTGAATACACTTAGAATTTTTGTATTTTGTACATAACATCTTCTATAAAATGTTTAAAAATTAACTCACAGAAAATGTTGCTGCAAATAATTTTATTGGATTGAGAATACAGTATCATGAATACATGAAACCTATGTTTCTTTATCTTTCTAGATAGTGCAAAAATATAGGGGTATGAATGTGGTATCTAAGGGTTTTTTTTTACTTGTATGGAATAGTTCATTCTTTATAAAAAAATATTTATTAGTACATATGTATACATAGGGATAACATTATAGGCATAATGATTACATTCATCATGGGGAGCTTGTATGGGTACTGTATGTAACACATCTTAACTATTTTTCTGTCCTCTCCTCCTTTCCCTCCTCTCTCCACTGTCCATCTCCTGGTTCCTTCCCATTTATAAAACATTTGTCTTCTATTACCGGTAATGTCTTATTTTGCTTTTTAATTCATCTGTATTTTGGGCTTCTCATATAAGAGGAACTATGGGATATTTAAGCTTGTGGTTTGATTTGTTTCACTTAACATTATGGTTTCAGGTACATCCATTTTCGTACAGATGGCACAAATTTGGCCTTATTTATGGGAGAGTAGTAGCCCAATATGTATTAATACCACATTTTCTTTATCCATTCATCTGTGGATGGACATATAGGGTGCTTCTAATATTTAGCTATTATGAGTTGTGTTGCTATTGTAAGACTGAGGGCCTTACCAAATGCTCCGAGGAGCTGACTGCAGCGATGAACACCCGGGAAGGAACACACCGGACAAGCGAACTAGGGTTCCTTACCCGGGGATCTCGCTGGGGCCTCCAAAATGTAA